AGCTGGACAACATATCATCCCACATATTTGCATGTTCAGCCTTTAAAAATTCCAAGAAGGTCGCAGCACTTAACCTTGCAGGCAAAAGGTAAGGTCCAAATAGTCGATTACGGTAGATACCAATCCACATGTTCACACTAAATTCATGCTGAAAATTTCTTTCCCGATCTGCATGCGGATTTTCATGCGCCCAAATATGTTGATTATGAAAATTTACCACTCCACGTCTAGTGAAGCATGACTCATCGGTCCATAAAACGTTACTTAAAAACTCCCTATTATTATCAGTTCTATCAAGAATCCACTGACAAAATGTGATTCTTCGTTCTCCGTCCCCTGGCTATAGTCCCTACACAGGTTGCAAATGGTAAGGACGTCTATGGTCATTTCTAAGAACAGGGTGAACATGGCTTGCTGAAATTCCCAAGGCACCAGAAACTCTCCTAACACTTGTGGTCGGATCTCTATCAAACTCACGCAGAATCATACGGGTAAATCTGCGCTGACGAACATTTATGTTTTGATCCCTTTGGAGATTTCCAATACCATTTTCAATTATTTGGCGATGCACTCTTACAAATATTGAGCGAGTTGGATGTCGTCTGTTTGGAAATCTTCATGTGTATTCTCTGGCTGCTTCTGCTGCGTTTCCATTTACAAAGCCATACACAAAATGAATATCCGCTAACTCTTGATTGGAGAATAAAAATGGCATTTTTATAAAACTTACAAAAAAAACAGGTAAAAGAAACTAAATTTCGTGCATTCACAATTGCAAAAAAAACGTTTCAGGTTTCAACAGACAACAAAACTAACTGTCAACTAATTGACGTTTAACCTTATTCTGCTTTCTATTTCAAAAATATTTGCAGGAACAGCCTACTTCTAAAAATTATCGAGATACTGACCTTTTAACGTTATTTTATCATGAATAATTAAAAATGCATCGAACCTTAAAAATCGAAATATCTCAAAAACGGCTAACTATAACGAAAATTCACAAGAGAGCTTTTTTATGTTGAAAAGTGCGAAGAATCAGTTTTTTTATTCAAAAAGCAAAAAATTGCACTAAGAAAAAATTTTCGGTCATTTTAATACTGTTGTGTATAGTGGACTGTATTTTTATTGATTACATTTATGTTTTTGTTCAATGTATTGTATGTACATTTCATGAGAAACTGTCGTAATTGAAAAATTGTCTATACCGAACAGATTTTCTGGTTATGGTCGTAAAAAAATGGTAGCTTCTTCCGGCCTCTCTCCTGGTCGCTCCGAGAGGAAGGCATCCCATTGGACCGTTCAAAATTCAACGGTCTTCCGGTCGGCAGTGGTAGGCTGCGCGCTGGATGGTGGCGCGCTCCTGCGGGAGATGGTCGAAACCCATTTTGCCAGTGGCGTAGCACATACAAATACACTACAGGTACAGTAGAGAGCGCCCTCTAGCGGAAGCCACGCATTTTTCGACCCATGTTTATATAGACTTTATGCATTAATTTTAAAAGTTCTATCGAATGTTAAAGTTATGCAACAATAAACTGAAACACCCTGTATAAAAGTTGCATAATAAAAGAAATAGTAAAACATTAAGAATTTTAAAAAATAAGAATTTTATTACAAAGATTTTTTGATATTCTCGACCACTACCGTGTAAAACCTTAGCGTTTTTTGTTTTACCCGAATGTAGAACTTTTGTGCTGGATAGCAGTAGCAGCAGACTAGCTTCGCAACATTTAATCCAGAATCAAAAATAAAGACTGCTGTTAAACTGATAAAGGTATCAAATGTGGCGTCCTACAGGGAACCGTTTTAGGTTCACTGCTATTTAATATTTAGGTTTCAAAACTGAGTCACTTATTTTAACTGCCTCAAAAGGAGTTGATATACCAAAAATCACTCATATAAAAGTTGCATAATAAAAGAAATAGCATAAGATTAAAAACTAAAAAAAAAGAATGTTATTGCACAGGTTCTTTGATATTCTCTACCACTGCCGTATAAAATCGTAGCATTTTTTTACTCTTATCGTTTATCTAAATTTGGCAAACTTTTTGTGTTATTGTATGGCTTTCAGTATTTTAATAGGGCGCACACTTTCATTTGTCTGATTATTTTGTGCGAAAAATGGTCCATGTTTAGGAAAACAATGAACTAGTGGTTATAATACTAACATATGGGGAGTGCCAACAACAGGCAGCAGCAGCATGCAGGTTGTAAGCGGAAAGGTTTCGTTTAAGAACATCCAACTCCACGGATAATTGTAAATATATCTATATGTATATACAGGGTGTTCCTTAATGATATGAGAATATTTAAGGGTGTGAATCAACATGAAAAAATAATGTTAGTTTGCTTTATAAACTATGGTCCAAAAATTTTTGGTTACAAAAACTCGGGGTGTTGAAGTTTTAGAAAAAAAATGGAAATTAATTAATATTTTCAGAACTGCTTCAGATATTTCACTGATATTTAGTATGTAGCGAAAGTTAATAAATCTGCATATTTTTCAATGCAAAAATAATTTTTAGCTTTAACAGTGGCGTGCGTACGGGTATTAACTTCAATATTTTGTTATTGTAGTGGTTTTCTGCCAAATAAACATTATTTTTGAATCCGTCGTTCAATTTGAAACAAAGTGTGAGAACACCTGAAATTGAGGAAGCAATGCTGCACAAAGTCGAAGAACAGCCTGAACCGAGTACGAGGAAGATCGCTAGACACTTAATCAAATTGTTTGGAGAATTTTAGTGAATTTTTTGTTATATCCTTACCATAGTACAGGAATTACTTCCCATTGATTTTCCAAGGCGTATGACCTTTTGTCAGTGATATCTTCAAGAAATTACACAAAATCCGCAATTTGAATCAATGATTCTGTTCACCGGCAAAGCTAATTTTTCTTGAAATGCCATTCAGACTTTCCACAATAATCATTTGTGGGCAAAAGAAAATCCCTTATTCCGTAATCGAAACCCGTTTCCTACACCAATTTTCGGTTAACGTATGGGCAGGAATTATTGCCAACCACTTTATTGGCCCATTCTTGTTGCCGGGACGACTTGACGGACAGACTTACTTCAATTTTCTTCAAGTTCTTCAGTTGCCTTTGCTGCTTGAAGATGTTCCTTTAGTAATAAGAAACAATATGTGGTACATGCATGATGGTGCACCAGCGCATTTCAGTGTAGCGGTTCGTAATTATTTACAAACTGTTTATCCAAATCGTTGGATTGGTCGCGGTGGGCTACAAGAATGGCCCCAGACCTCAACAGTTTAGATTTCTTTTTGTGGGGCTATCTTAAGACACTAGTGTACACAAGTCCCATTAACACTGTAGAGGAATTAGGAGAAAGAATAGTTGCAGCTTGTGATAGAATAAAAAACACTCCAGGGATATTTCAACGAGTGCGCAATTCCATGAGAAGGAGGGCGGAAGCATGCATACTAAGTGAATGGGGCCATTTTCAACAATTTTTGTAATCATTTCGTTGGTTTTAATGTTATGTTTATGTTGTCAGTTGTTGTGGGTCATTACCCCTAATGTGTTTAATTTTTCCAATTAAATTAATAATAATTCTGCAAGGTAGACAATAGAACGGTTTTTATTTTTTTACTCAAAAATGGCGCATCTAAGGAAACCAATTCAAGAGAGATTATTTGTTTTAAATTGAACGGGGAATTCAAAAATAATTTTTATTTCGCAAAAAACTCTTGGCGTACTAATTTTTTCTTAAAAAATATCAAAGTCAATACCCGTACGCACGCCACTGTTAATGCTAAAAATTATTTTTGCGTTGAAAAATATGCAAATTTATTAACTTTCACTACGTACTAAATATCAGTGAAATATCTGAAGCGGTTCTGAAAATATGAATTAATTTCCATTTTTTTCCCTAAAACTTCAACACCCCGAGTTTTTGTAAGGAAACATTTTTGGACCATAGTTTATAAAGCAAACTAACATTAATTTTTTATGTAGATTCACACTCTTAAATATTCGCATATCATTAAGGAACACCCTGTATATATAATATAGTTATTAGACTTCGTGACACAGGATGTTTAACAGAATACCTGCTCAACCTGAAATATCACAAATTGGGGAAAACATTTTAGAAATGGTCAAAGACGACTCAACAATGAGTACTAGAGCCATAGCAGCTCAAGGTGAAGTTTCTCATAGTAAAGTGTGCAAGACAATACGAGAAAAACACTATTATCCTTATAAATGGAGTACTCAATTTCCACAACAATCATGTTTGGGCAGTAGAAAATCCGCAAGCTGTAAAAGGAACTTTTCAACATAGATTTTCATTAAATTTTTTTGCTGGTGGGGTAAATGACATGCTTATTGGACCCTACTGTTTTCCACCTCAACTGACCGGTGAAATTCTTCGACACAATCTGCCACAATTATTAGAAGGTGTTCCTCTAAATGTGATACAGAAAATGTAGTACCTACATGAAGGGGCTCCACCACATTTTAGACCAGAAGTTCATGAACATCTAAATAATGAGTTTCCGAATAGATGGATAGGGCGCAATAGACCCATTTTTTAGCCTGGTTGCGTTCCCGGATTTAACGCCTTGCATTTTTTCTGTGGGGCTGTTTGAAAGAGTTGGTGTATCATGATGAAGCAGTAAATATTTCAACAGTGCACTGAAAATGCTTGTGATTTAATTCGTGGACACCAGGATTGTATTTTCGAAGCTTGTAGAGTCGTTGATTCGCCGAGCAAGATTTTGTGTTAATCCAACAAATAGGGACAATTTTGAACAGTTTTTGTAAAAACGGTATCCAATTAACTTGATAATGTTGCTGTTAAAATAAATGACTCAACTATGAAAACACCCTGTACATTCGTTTCATAAATAACTCGGATGACAGCAACAAGCCACTGATAGTATCAAACGCAAAACTTGTACTTGTATGTAATGTTGCGTGTAACAATGCATGCTCTACGAGTACATAACTTATTAATATCTGATGTATAAATACTTACTTTATAAGCATACTTTCGATGCAGCTTGCCCTGATTCTTATACAGTTCCATCAATTCCTTCATGAATTTGAGTGTAACTTTCCCATCTTCAAGCTCAGGGCCCGCATATTCATTTTCAATTGCTGCAAAATTTAGTCATTAGAGATTTACAGCATTGTAATCCGCCAATTATAATAACTTACTCATAGCTTCTAAATTAATACTGTCTGCTATGTTTCGTTTATTGTCTTCTACGGATATAGCTTTCTCAAAAGCTATTTTTTTCACTACTTTATTACATTCTGTATATTTCGCTCTAGCATCTTTATCATTTGGTCTAACTTTAGTTACCTGGAAAAAGCTACATATTAGTGCTATCTATTGTTTTTTATATTAAAGATATCACGCAGGCCTAAAATAATAATAATAAAACATTGCTTTATTTGTATCTTATATTTCTTAGATATTTATCATTGAAAAAAATTATTCCTTCTCAATGTTTTCTTTTTACAGTCACGATATACATCAGGAGTGTTTGAGCAACGTCGACAAGAATTTATTACGAACTTGGACAATCTGTTTGGTATTGCGCATGCCGATGCCCTTCAATTGATGAAAATAAATGAAGAAAGGATCTTCTTGCAGCGGCAGAGAGAGCCAGGTTGATCTGGTCATTTAGCTGGGGTGGTTTAGAAATTAGCCATAAAAGAAGAAGAGACGCGTCTTAGGAACACCAAAAAAAAAAATAAACGGCGAGCTAAATATGTTACTTCCTTAACTGCTTCGACATCATCTTACAAACCAGTGCAAGAAAATTCATATTCAGATTCCGAGATAGATTAACAGGAAACTTTCCCCATCCCAACTCAGAGCACACAACCTGATACTACTCAAACTCAAATGAGGAAAAGTTTCAGAACTCCAAAATTAGTGGCAGCATTAAATACGAGTGGTCCCAGAAGTACCCGGTCTGACCTAGAGATGGCGATAGTTGTTTGAAAAATATCATTGTATTAGAAAGTATGCAACCTATAAAGCATATGTGTCAAGTTTGAAGATGCCACGTTGTTTAGTATTTGTTTGGCAGCCATCAATACTGAACGTTTTCAGTGAATTTGTGAAAATGGGGAAAATTGGTCATAAATGCCTCAGCCCAATCAATATAAAAGCTGAACTGGATTCTACTCTGGGTGAGTCTGCTCCTTCGTTTACAACGGTAATATATTGGCTAGCAGAGTTTAAACGAGGCCGTATGAGCTGCCAAGACGAGCATCGCAGTGGTCGACCAAATGAGGTGACGACTCCAGAAATGGCGAAGAAAATTCACAAAGCGGTACTGAATGATCGTCGACTGAAAGTGCGCGAGCTAGCAGACATAGTAGGCATTTCAAAAAGTGCGGTTCATCGCATATTATCTGAAAATTTGGACATGAGAAATCTGTGTGCAAGATGGGTGCCGCGATTGCTCACAATCGAGCAAAAACACTGTCGTGAAGATGTTTCAGTTGAGCGTTTAGCGAAGTTTCACAGCAACAAAGCAGAATGTTTGCGTCGTTTCATAACCATGGATCACTTCACACCCAAGACAAAAGAACAATCAAAACAATGGACTCAAAAGGGACAGCCGGCTACAAAGAAGGCGAAGACCGTTTCATCTGCAGGCAAGGTTATTGCGTGGGATTTTTGGGATGCGCGAGGGATAATTTTCGTTGACTCACTTGAAAAAGGTAAAACTATTAACGGCGATTATTATGCGAACTTATTTATACTAAGTGACATATAAATCCGAACACCCAGTTTAAATGGTTTTATTTTAATAAAAGTTGGTGAATGTATTTATCTTACTGTAAATAACAAGTGCCTTATCAGTTGGACATTCCGGTTTTTATACTGATTTTTTTTAATTCACTAACGCGCTAAAAATGAATATTTCAGCCGCAGTAAAGAATCAACGTTGGCGGATTTTGGTTCTTGACAACCTTTACGATCGGTTACGATGCCTAGAGTACGGAGACCTGTACGATTTCGTCAACTTAGTGAGTTTGATAGGGGCCGTATAGTGGGACTTCGGGAAGCTGGACTTTCTTTTCGGGCAATTGCAGTTAGAGTGCAAAGAAGTGTAGACACTGTGGTTAGGTGTTGTCAGGCATGGCTTCGAGAAGGCCGTACGCAAAGAGCAAGGGGCACTGGACGCCGCCGTAGAACAGCAGAAGATCACCGCCTAAGATTATTGGCCTTAAGGGACCGTTTCTCCACTACCAGGTCCATTGCAAATGAATGGTTTGCAGAACACGGAAGACCTATTGGCATGCGAAGTGTTTACCGACGAATGAGAAGTTTTGGCTTGTTTTCATACCGGCCACACTGGGTCCTCCCTTTAACTCGAGAACACCGACGTAATCGCCTTGAGTGGTGCAGACAACGGTCACTCTGGGATCAGGAATGGAACAGTATTGTCTTTAGTGACGAGTCTTGATTTTGTTTAGGCATGCACGATGGTCGTGTCAGGGTTAGAAGGCGACGTGGTGAAAGGAGGAGTCCACAGTTTTTTGTTGAAAGACATGTTCATCACACTGTTGGGGTTATGGTTGGGGGTGCTATAGCTTATGGTTCCAGGTCACCTTTAATCTTCATCAGAGGTAACATGAAGGCGCAGCGTTATATCCACGAAGTTCTAGAACCCCATCTTTTACCCTATCTTGACACCCTGGCAGATCCAACTTTCCAACAAGATAATGCCAGACCACATGTTGCAAGAGTCACAATAGACTTCTTTCAACATAATGATGCCACATTGTTACCATGGCCACCAAGATCTCCCGACTTATCCCCAATTGAGCACGTGTGGGATATGATGGGTAGGAGATTGCTCAATTTGCAACGTCCTCCTCAGACTCTAGAAGCACTTCGAGAGCAGTTGGTGGTTGCCTGGAATGAGATACCACAGGAGGACATTGACCACCTGATCAGAAGCATGCCTAGGCGCGTTGGAGAAAGCGTAGCACATCAGGGTGCATCCACACATTATTAAAGGTCAAAGGGCTTTAAAGCAGTGCAATCATTTTGAAATTTTTATCATTTACTTATTATGCTTCATTAAGTACTTATACAAAATTTTATTAAAATATAACCATTTAAACTGGGTGTTCGGATTTATATGTCACTTAGTATAGTTAAGACTACCAGCTCACAAATTCGTTATTGCAATGGCCAAAATTAACGAATTAAAGATTGAATTGCTACCTCATGCACCCTATTCACCAGATTTAGCCCCCTCCGATTATTTTCTGTTTCCAAACTTGAAAAAATGGCTCAGTGGTCAAAGATTTTCCAACAATGAAGAAGTGATGTCGGCAGTTAATGGCTATTTTGAGGAGCATGACAGTTCTTATTATAAAAAGAGTATCGAACTTATTGAACATCGCTGGGAAAAGTGTATAGAGCTCAAAGGAGATTATGTTGAAAAATAAATACATTTTTTTACAAAATTTTTGTGTTTTCTTCGTTGGGTCGGGTACTTCTGGGACCACCCTCGTAGGTGTCACTTAAGTATGAGAAATGCTGTTTTTATTATTTTATCAACCAGTGAGGCACTTGTACATTACACTAACGAGTCCCCTATAAGCAAGTCCTCCATTCACAGAAGTCGTACCGAATAGCGAAAGGGGCGCGCAGAAGCTATAAACAAAGCGAGGTACCGGATATTGTAACAAATGGTAAACTGTTGCCACCTTTAAATGCACACAAGTCAGCGAGCAGGCTCAGGCAGTTTGGGATGCTATTATTGACTGGAATCTTTGAGATAAAGTTCAGATTCTCTGTTGTGATACTACATTAACGGTGCTTGCGTGCTCCTCGAACAGAAACTTACTAAAAAAATGCCGCTACAAGCTCTGACATTACAATGTTTCAAAAGTTTCGCAAGAGCTGTAAAAGTGTGGATCCCGAGCAAATACATATTTATACTTAAAGGCCATCATGCCTAAATCTGTCAAATACTGACAAGCTGCTAGAAATGTATCGACATGAATTGACCACAGAAGTTGCTAGAGATGACTATCGAGAATTAATAGAACTTTCAATGATATTCCTTGGCAGATATATCAATCAAAATAGCCTCAGTTTCCAGCTCAAACTTTCTAGTAAGGATCAGGCAGCTCTTGTAGATATATGCCTATTCATCGTGACAACATACGTGAAACCGTGGTTGCAATGCACTTTAGCGGTAAAAGCACCTAACCAGGATTTATGTTTATTAAAGGCAATGAAAGCTTACGAAGGAATTTACAAATCCATTTCAAAAGCAGCTTTACAAAAATTCTGCCAACATTTATGGTATTTAACAGATAAGGTCTCTGTCTCATCTCTGTTTGACGATGACGTAGATGGGAAACTAAAGTAAAAAATGTTGCAAATTTAGCCAAATCAGTCGACGGTAAACGCTACATCCCATCGAAAGAATAACTTTCCGTTGTCTTCTTTTACTGATTCGACATAATATGCTAACTGTTAAAATAATCCAGCATAAACTGCGATTCTGGTAATAGATGGCATCTTATACTGTCTTGTTTCCATAGATATTATACCTCAGATAGAGGTTAGTTGCTATGTTTGCGTTCGTAATCCTGACCTGAAGCCAAGCCTAGACGATGCTGATGAGTTGCCAAAAACCACAAAACATCTGTCCATGGTCGACTGTCTCTGGTCGGACGGACAAAACCAGTATGTTTAGATGGTAGCTATCCGTTTTTTCGTTTCAGAGAAAAATACCGATGACTTTGTTTCAATCAAAAGCAAGTACTTGTTAAGTCAACTCAAAACTGAAGAGTGTAAAACTTCATGGCCACATAATGATTCTTTTCAACACGCTAAGAATACGGTGCAAACACTGAGAGCAGGTAATGAATACGGCAGAAAGAGCCGTCAAGTTGATGCAAGACTTCCATGGCTTAATCACTGCTGATGAGGAACAAAAACTATTTTTATTATGTTGCGTATCCTAAATGTAAAAAGAAAACTTTGAAAAGAAAATTTAGTAAATAATGTTCTTTTAATGATACATAACTAAGAAATATATATAAGTTTGACCGAACGTCGTTCCCCGGTCGCAATAATATTTATTTTTTAAGTTATCGAGTCAAATGGAAAAAAAATTAGAGGATATTCGTATCTCAATTCTAACAAAACATTACATCATTATAATTACATATTATTGTTATTAATATTATTTAATTTGAAACTGAGTTCGTTGCAATTTTTGTTGCCTTGTGTGAAATCTAATACATTGTGTCTTGTTTAGATTTAAATATAAATTATAATTTGAAAACCAGTTATGCAGTCTAGACAATGAAACTTCCATATTATCTTGTAATTGTTCCTGTGAAAAACCAGAAGCTACAATTGAGGTATCATCTGCGAATGGAGTTATCAATACACCAGGTACAACATTAAGTAACTCGTTTACATAAAGCAAAAATAAAATAGGGTCTAGAACAGACCCCTGTGGGACACTCATCAAACATTCTTCAATCCAAGAATTAACTTGAACCATAGTACCACCAGAGTTTAAGGCCCGTATCGTCAGTCGTCCCTACAATTGTAGGGCGCGTTTATGGCCTCCTTTATTGTCATAATCTTTCTCTCCTTCAAAAATTTCTAGATTACACTTGTCCCGTGTCAGCGTCAGCGCTCTACTATTGTGAAGATATGTTTTTTTTAAACTGTAGGAAATTTCAGGCTGATAAAACATGGTATAACTCAAAAGCAAGCACAATTTGATGCAAATAGATGTTTGTGACATAACATCAAAATAGAGTTCTGACACGGAGAAGTAGAAAACTGTGACAAGGAGGCCATAAAGGCGCCCTGCAATTGTAGGGACGACTGATGATACGGGCCTAAATGGTGTATAGCTACATACTGCTTTCTGTTTGTGAGGAAGGTCCGCAACTAATCTAATTGCTGTTTTTTATGCCATAAAGTGCTAGCCTATTTAGAAGAGTATCATGTTCGACACAGTCGAAAGCGCTGCTGAAGTCACAGAAGACCGCAACAGAGCTCCCCCTTGCTTTGACGAAGTGAACAACTTCATCATGAAATGTATGGATAGCAGAGTTTGTGGATTTACTAGCCTGAAAACCATGCTGTCGCTCGTTGATTAGCTTGTTTTCCCCAACAAACAGTCGATCCAAAAATCCATATTCCAGTAATTTAGAAAAAGAGCTTACTCTTAGCCCAGAGCAACTGAACGTAATCCAGTATTTTTAATGCAGTGTATTAGTAATTTTTCTTATACGTACATATTCATAATTTTTCAGTGCCTCCTTAAACTTCCCTAAGGACATATATGCTGCCGCTCTCCTGTAGTATCCCTTTACATAGGTTTTGTCGAGTTCTACTGCTTTAGATGCATCCGTCAGGGCATAGCCAAAACATTCTGTCTTTAGGTATGCAAAACTCCGATTTGCATAGTATATAGCTACATTTGGATTTTTCTCTATTGCTAAAGTGTAGAGTTCTATTGCTTTGTTGAAGTCCATTTCTGAAAAAAAAGCACCATAACTTAAAAAATCACGAGGGTCACTGCTGCTACTTCATAAGACTGAATGAGTGAATTCGTATTTAACAAAAGTTGATGATTTATTGAAGTGGTTCTCTGTTATGGAGATAGAAGACGCCACTAGAAGTCGGTTTTCCTAGACCCTTCTTTGATAAGATCAAGCGAAGACACTGGATCGAATTATGTTTCTGTGCAGATGCGAAGACATTTTGCGGACTATAAGCATGACACAATAAAAAAATGGCGTCAAGTAGGTTGACTCTGAACTTCTCATGCAACCATTAGGTTTAGAGCTGTGTTTTTTTTTTGAGATAAGCTAAATGGTTAGTTTTAGCAATGGTTATGTCACTTTTCAACAGAGCTGATTAGAAATCAACACAACAATCTTAAATTCATTTTTTTGTGAAAAATCTCTTCCATCCCTCAACTTTGGAGGGCGGTAAAAAAATGGTGGGTCTATTTCATTATTCGTTTTATTGTAAAAACTATTTCAATCCAACCCTGAAAATTTCATGTTGCTACGATAAGTGCCTCTTGTATCTATTCATGTAAACAAGAAATTCTATTTTACGAGCTACACTCCAAACGACTTGATGGATTTTGACATATGAGGTACTGTTAGATTTGACCTAGCACTACGAGTGATACTGTGTGTATTAACATTTTGTAAAATCAGAATGGTGGATTTTTTACGCAAATAGCCAAATCAGCTTAATGAACTTGGGCATTCAAATCGGCATTCCAGGTGTCTTCAATCTTCGTTCCGGCCGAAATTACCAAGTCAGGCAATGGTCCAGCGCGGAATTTGTATCTAACGTTTGGCATCTTAGTAGCATCATGTAATATTCTATTACGGTGCTGCCCTAGGAAATGCTCGAGCAGCTGCTCGCATATATCGGGAGTATGTGGTTAGAAGAGGTGGACCACAACCGGCGGTATATCCCGACTACCGAGTTTTTCTACGCGTCCATAATGCGTATACGGAGGGCCGCATACTAGGCACTCATCGTCAGCTAGGAGCGCCGAGGATACGCCCAGAAGACATAGAAGCTATAATAGAAGCAGCCGAGAGAGATTCCTGTATAAGCACCAGAGCCATTGCCCGAAGCAGAAACATATCCCATACTTCAGGGCACACAATACTACGCTCGGACAACATGTATCCTTACCATGTACAAAAAGTACATGTATTGGTTCCAAGCGACTATCCACAATTTTGAGAGAATATGTTGAGAAGGTGCGAAGAGGATGAAACTTTTTTCGACAGCATCTTATGGACAGATGAATCCAACTTTAGCCGAAATGGAATATTCAACCCGCACAATTTCCATTGATGGAGCGTGGAAAATCCACACGCTATTCGCCGAAACAGCTTTCAATGTCAGTTCCACGTTAATTTATGGGCTGGTGTACTCAGCAAAACATTAATTGGACCATATGAATTGCCCGCCAGGTTGAATGGTCAGTCATATCTTGCTTTTCTACAAAGCAGTTTGCATGAGCTGCTAGAGGATCTACCTTTGGACGTTCGAAGCCGCATCTATTTTCCATGAGATGGTGCCCCATGCCACTTTGCGCGGGATGTACGGCATTACTTAGACAGTGCCTTTCCTGGGAGTTGGATAGGTAGAAGTGGACACATACGATGACCTCCAAGGTCACCTGATTTAAATCATCTAGATTTTATTATATGGAGGTTTTATCAGGTGACAATCTGTTCATCTGGATATACAAATGTCAACCAACTGCGCCAGAAAATTGATGATAAAATAAAATTATAGAAAACGCAAATTTATTTCAAAGACTAAAGGACAATTTTATTAGAAGGTGTCGCTTGTGTATAGAAAATAATGAAGTTCATTTAGTTAAACCAACTTATCTTCCACACTTGCCGGTAAATCGCCATAAAGAGCGGCTAAACACAATAGGTTCTGTACTTGTAGGTGGTAAGGATTCTGTTGCATTTCTTACGTTTATCGCATCACAACAACGAATGTGACATGATACACTCATCGTAGCAAGTTTTTACAATAAAATTAATATTGAAATACAACCTCAATTTTTTTACCGCCCTCCAAAGTTGAGGGATGGAAGAGATTTTTAACAATTTGCGTTGATTTCTAATAAGCTCTGTTAAAAGTGACATAACCATTGCTAAAACTAATCATTTAGCTTATTTCAGAAGAAAAAATAACAGCCCTAAACCTAATGGTTTAGTTGTAATTGCGATTGAAAGTTCAATATCCCGTTATTTCGAAATTTCACGAAATTGCAAATATCTCCTGAACTATAAAATTTCAAACCACACATATAGGGGTTCATTCGATAGGTTTTGAGCCCCTCTATCACCAAACTTCCGTTGATCCACTACTAACTTTACACCCTGTATGTAATTAAACATAAATCCTTTTTGACGGGTGATGGTAAAAAAATGGTTTATAGAACTCGTCACAAGGGGATTCCTTTGACAGGTATGTATGCATATTATTTTTTTAGACAAAGTTTTTTGTATTAATGCGTCGATTTTGTTTGCATATCAATTCTAAAATAGATAAAAAGTGAGATTATCAATTGGTTTGTCGTGACAAAAACGCAAAACACTTTTTTTTAGGTCCGCTAATAAGATGCAAACCAAAAGAAATAGCCGATTCTTTAGGGTATCCTACAATCAGTGATTCTTCCAGTTGGCTCAATAAATTTAGAATTCGGCATAATATGGGTTTTAAAGCGAGAGAAGGAGCGTCAGTTAAGGCTGAAGATGAGTCATCATTTTTGGAAAAAAATCCTTCTTTGATTAAGGGATATTCACTGAGAGACATCTATAATGCTGATAAGACTGGCCTGTATTTTAGGCCTCTACCCAATAAAATGCTCGCATTAAAAAATGCAACATTAACAATTAACAATAGTACGTGTGGGGCCGTTCTGAAATCTGTATTCAATGACCAATCTTTTATTCAATAAACGCAGTTATAGCTCAGTACATTTTTGTTTCATCACAGATGGTCAAAGCTGAGGAAACAACATCAGAAGGTTATAAGTCCCAAAACAGTCCTTATTTTATCACGGTTCCTTAATATCTTTTAACTACATTGCATTTGTATGTAATAAAGCAACTATCTAGAAGTATTTTGTAGAAAAAAATGAACAAAGTATAACCTTATTTGTACATGCAGCTAAAGACCACAGATGAAAAGTTCGTTTTTTTTTAAATATAAGAAAAAATGTATAACCTCAAAAACGGTAACACTTTTATATAGGTAAGTTTTTGTTATTTGGGAGGTCAGTCCAAAGCCTATCTTCTCCTTAAGTTTGTCGTAGTACTTATTGGACACCATGTATTTATTTTTGCTCCCTAATTGTACATCAGCTTATCAAGCACTTGACTGCATTCAGTTTATTTGCCAAAAACTGCTTGGGACCAAGTAACCAAAGAAACAAGAGCAAAATTGGTGTGAGAGTAATAAGCTGTATGTTAATATGGATAAATGTATGTGTATGCAGTTCTCCAAATCTTTAACCGTATCAGAAAATACTTATTCTGTGATAGGGCTATCTTTAAAAATGTTAGGCTGATTAGGGATCAGGGATTCAAAGTTACAGATTATAGAGTTGATTCAGGAAGGCTTTGGGGATGTTGGGTTTCATATAGAGGAATACTAGAGAGTTCACAGACATTTTTTCTATAAAACTACTATATACATCTCTTGTCAGATCTCATTTAGAATCTAGCGTCTTCTAGTGTCTGGAACCCCTACTATCAAGTCCACATTGAATTCTATTCAGAGAAAATTTACTAAATATATAGCTTTTAAAATAAACATCCCCAATGACTACATAAACTATAAGGATATGGAATCTGACCTAAAACTCAATAGTATGGTCAAGCTTAGAGACAATTTTGACACTCTTTTGTGTCACAAAATTATTACTGCACTAATAAATAGACCCGAACTCTTCGGCATGATAGATTTTAATGTGCCTCCTAGGACCTTAAGAGGCCAGAAGTCATTCAAACAAACCTTAAAAAATGTTACCTAACCTTTTATATATGTTATTTCTGATTACGTTGTACTTTATTCTTAATAATTTGGTTGTGTTAAATTTTATTTATCTGGACATTAATTTTAAACATTTCTTATTAAAATTCTAAGTAAATTTAGTTATCTTATTAATTTAAATTGAATAAAATTATAAAATTGGACATGAACGAATGAATAAATAGTTAAAATTGCTTCCACAAAGCAGGATTTAAGCATGAAAATATGCGAAGACCAGTTAAATGAGGATGACTCAGAAGATGATTCACCTCTTAATGTACTTTCAGATATCCTCAAAAATAAGAATTTATTGAAATTGACTGATAATGAAAACCTTTGATTTGTTTAACCTAGATAAAAGTTTGTATGCCGAAGACCCAGACTCAGGCCAAGAAATTGAGAAATCCAGATGAAATACAAAAACTTTCTAAAGATTCTGATGTCGATGAAGTTCCAGTACCAACAATATTCTATTCCAAATTATGATAAAGCTATTACCCTGAGCAAGCACATCAAAACTTTTGTTGAAAATCAGGGAAAGGGAGTCTTTGGAGCTTTTTTCTACACTAGAAATACGATTTAAAGATGTCATTTTAAATAAAAAGAGGATACAAATGACAATATATGAATTTTTCGTCCTCCTAGTGACTTTTTATTTCATTGTTTGGTGTTAATACATATACACTACCGCTCAAAAGTTTTGGGACAGTACATTTTTTGAGGGAAATCAAACCAAATCAAACCATAGAGTGTGTTTAATAAAAAAAAATTAAAAAGAAACTTGTTTCCACTGAAACTTAATCAGTTGGTAACTTAATTCTACCAAAATTTACTTTAAATTCGTGATTCATCGAAATGTCCACCACAAGCCCGAATAACTGCATTACAGACACGACTCGTCCGACGTATCAATTTTTCAAGAATAGTTGGTGATAAGGATACCTGTGCTTCCTGCAGCTTGGACCACAAGTCTGCAGCACTAGTAGGCTCTTGTTGCTTCACCTGCCTGTCCAATTCCTCCCACAAATATTCATCAGGAGACAAATCTGGAGACTGGGAAGGTCACATCATGACTTTCATTGCACCACAAGTTATTGCTGCTGGTCCAAATAATTACAGCATAGTCGAGACGAATGTTTAGGGACGTTGTCTTGCTGACATTCGAAATTGTACCCAACAATCCTTTGTCCTGAGGGAACAGCATGGTTTTCCAATATTTCCAAATACTGCTCTTTTCGCATTGTACCCTCAATACGAACCAAAACTCCTGTTTGATTTCCAGCAAAATATCCCGAAACCATTACAATCTCACCACCATGCTTAACATTGCGGAGTCATGCATCCATGAGGTTGGCGGCGTACAAACTGTCGTCGTCGAGAGCCGAACATTTCAAATTTGGATTCATCCAACCAAAGGACTTGATTCCAATCGTCAATGGTCGAATCCTTATGTTCTTGGGCCCATGCTAACTGGTTGCGTTTGTGTATAGGTCGCAGGAGTGGTTTGCATGCTGCTACACATCCTCTAAGTTTAGCCCTTTGTAAGCGGTGTTTTACCGTAGACACAGACACAGTATTTTCCTTTGTTCTTTCAAGCTGTGGGTGAGTTCTGGCGCAGCTAAATGTATATTTCGTTTACTTGTTATTACTATAAGCCTATCCTCAGGAATAGTTGTAACTCTGCGTCTGCCAGGGCATGGATGATCTATGCCACTGCCTGTTTCTCTCTTTTTCTTCGAAATTTGAGACACTGTGTTCCATGCAGCCTTTTAGCAATTGCTCTAATTGGCAATCCCTCATCACATAAGGCACACACTGCACCCCGTTTTTCAAGAGAGACGTCTTTAACTTTTTTGGTTATTTTGAAAAAGTCTGAGCCTAGCACATCGACTAGTAGTTTATACTAAACTACTTACAATTTTCACTTTGTTTCATCAATACCCAGAATGTTTATGTATTATATTAAGCCAAACATAATACATAGTACAAAAAAAGTAAACAGCAGCAGGAATTCGACCGATTTATGACTGCAATGAACTAATAAAAATATTGGCGTCTCTAAAGGAGTTTACATTTATTCCCTTTTAAGTGGTGTTTCACTGATTCTTATACATCTTTAGCTTGAATAGTTGTATTATAGATGGTAATAATCAATCAATGTCATATATGCCTTATTTATTTTAAGTACTCTTGAAAAAAATAAGTAAACAACAGCAGGAATTCAACCGAATTATGACTGCAATGAACTAATAAAAATATCGGTGTCTCTAAAGGAGTTTACATTTATTCCCTTTTAAGTGGTGTTTCACATATATGCCTTATTTATTTTAAGTACTCTTGAAAAAAGTTACTGTCCCAAAATATTTGAGCGGTAGTGTATGTACATACTTTGTATATATCTAAATGTACCAAACCTTTTGTTTTGTTTATTTTAAAAACATTTATAAACATATACATTTTGAATGTTCCACTTTTCATTAAAAACATAATTTTTTTGTATTTCTTTTATATTGACACCCCTGTAGCACAGACACTTTCAGTCAGTTCTGTTGGTACCTGTCTAAAGGAGATTTCACTGTACATATATTCGTTTTTTATCACTCTTAACCTAATTTCAGTGGAAGGAATCCTGTAAGAACATGTAATAAGATTCAATTTTTTTCTATCCCTTCCAAGATTGTAAGAGCCTCGGACTTTGTCTTCAAGGGCGCGTACAGTTTTATCTAAAGTGGCATTACATGTTAAGAAGTGGTAACTATTACGAAAAGTGCTTTAGCAAACATAGTACATAATTATTTACTAAATACTAAAGATACCAAATGAGAGGTATATAAATACAAGATACAAACTAAATTTTAAAAATGTATTTTAAATACAAGATGAAAATACGTATTTTCTATCTGTATTCCAGAAAACTTGTATCTTAAATAAGTTACATCTCTGTTTATTAGAAGGTTCCTTACATTCTTGAACTAAATACGTGTGTAACAGTATTGCAAAATTTTATATTTTTATAATCAGCCGTCTAAAGGAGCAGTAAATTAAAACAATGTAGAAATAATGATCCTTTTCCAAAGATTTCTTTGAGGTTATGTTAAGAAATTATAAGACAGGTCCCATAATAAATTAAACAGCTAATCGTCAATTATACGATCTGAATGGTATAATTCAGGAGCTTGGGAGCTTCACTTGCAGATACTTACGTTTGAAATATTCATTTGCCTCATTTTTGTACTGTTCCGCCTTCTCTATATCTTCTTGGGATAGCGGATGAACCTCAGATGATTCGGAGCTCATTTTATATTTTGCGAAATTGATGAATAATTATTTAATTGAACAGTATGTCGGTTATTTAACTACAGCTAAAAAACATCACTTAACACTCAAGGTAAAAAATGAATAAGAAATAATCCTAAAGTTGAAGTTTAGAGATTTTTCAAATGAATGCAAACGTCAACGACATCCTAATAGAGATGAGACATCAACACTGTCGTGTTAGATATCGTACATTAAAAAAGACTTTCATACAATCATTTCTTTTTGCGATATTTTACCCAATGGTAATGTCCATGCAACCTTTGTACCACAAAACCTATGTACGTGGTCAACCGACGGCAATGCTGTTCGTGTTGTAAAAACGACTCCAAAAATCAAGGCTCGATCCATCTTCAGCTGAGCTCCACCCGACCTGCGGCGCACCCACAAAACATATTATGCGGGTCCCACACGATGCTTCCAACGTTTTTGTATGACCTGTAAGCACTTGATAATTTATAATTTACTAAAATACATCATATTCTTAGGCTAGCCATAACTCAAAGTTAGTTACGGAACATACATTATTATGAATAGGTAGGTATTCAAATCAAAATACTTCCCACATACCACTACTTCACCATCAAACACGACATCTCGAACCATGCTTCCAACGTTGTAACGTCCTTTGACGCGGGTCAAATTTACTGACAAGAGAATGAACGTGCCATGTGGCGAACGTTGGACACATGCTAATGTGTTTTGTGGCGACAAATCCTGTATCACTTATGAAGTTGATTCTCCCATCTCTAGTCTTCATGATTTCACTCTTGAATAAGTAACTGATACCAACATGAAAATTCCGAATGTCACTAGCAAATTTGGGGAATTTGCTTTTGCACCAGTTGAAACTATATTCCCAAATATATTATATTGCGACCAATTTATTGACTAATTGTAAGTTCTAAACTTGTTATACACATTTATACTTTGCGTAAATATTAGGAGAAGTATAAAATCCCTTACATGTCATGTATTTCCGCCATATGTGATTACACTACATTCAAATTTGGCGCGCGCTTGGGTGTCTTCGAGGATTGCATTGCGCTGCCACTTTGGCATTAGCATTACGTCAATCATCAGAGTTGTTGGGATTTGTACTGAACGTCGTCCCAAATTTGCATTTTGTCTAATATTTGTCTGTTTTTACAAACTATTTTAGTGTTAATAAGTGCAATACATACGGAAAATATTACACAAGGACTACGACAATAAAACGAATATAGAAAATGAATCCAGAATAGTGAGTATCGATTAATTTTGCATTTTCATTAGACATTTTGTTTTGACAAGGATGGTTGGGTATTTGAAGCAAATTACGCAGCGAATCCTTTGTGGAATGTATTTTGTTCGACATATTAGAGGCGATAATCTCTTGGATGCAAATCAAAATGTTATTATTATTTGTTTGCTTTTACACAATTGCTTGCATTCACCATCCACCCACTTTTCAGTTCTCGCACCTAAACTTCAGAAGATGGTCGAGTTTCTTACCTGCTGAGTTGACTCAGCTCCGAGATTATCGCAGATTTTACATCGTGAATCGCCTCTAATTTCTGCGTATCACTAAACTTACTAATAAGCTTTTTTGTGGAGCGAAAATAAAATTCTGAGATAACAAAGAACATTCCAAACATGCCTGTTATTTTTCCTTTATATGATGATCAACAGTATGCAAATTATAATAGTTTTCTCCTGAACATGAACATTGTTCATATAATTTGGGTAATGCTTATTGATTCCAGGACAACTAATGAATCCAGTTTTGTTAATTGTAATTGTGTAAATTTAATTAACCAACATTAATTTATTTAGTAGGAGGTTATAAAAATAGTAATAAAAAATGTGAGAAATGGAAGCCCAGTGTTAGAGCACCCTAAGAGAGTTAGAAGTTAGAATCACTACCATGTATTATATCAGATTTTTTTTGTTTGTTTAGGAGTTATCATTTTTCAGTTCTTAGCTTATTTTGATCATAACTTCATAAATAAATGAGATAATTGCCTATTTTTCCAATGTAATTTAGCTAAAACTTGAGAGCTGGCACAATAATCTTTCCCCCAATAAGGAATTTATGTTTATCAGATTCTGTCAAATATAGTCATTAGTATCCATACAAAATATGATGATGCCTACCTAAGCACAGATCTGATTTGCAGCTTCATTACATAACTTGGTGACTGTGCACTTCCCATGCAATGCCCTTATCAGTTCATGATTATTTTAAGCACAAGCTAGATGCTTTGAGAATAAAATTATACCGAACATAGTTACCAGTCACACAGCAATAATTCCATGTACAATGAAACCTCTTTGTTTCGATACCTATGGGAGTGACTGGAAGTGTCCATTCAAGAGGAGTGTTCATATAGAAGAAATACAGTAAAAATCATGTTTTTAATGAAAACTGAATGTATTAAACAAACAGGGACATTTACATATATAACTAAAAAAGGCTTGTATGTACATGTACAAAGTATGTTTGTACATATATATATATAGAGGGTGGCCAACTGAGAATGTGAGGTACCGTACTGTACTGTAAAATGACTAAGAGAAACTACTGGAAAATATTTTCCAGTTTCTAAAATGGCCACCAGGGGGCATAAGTACAATCTTGAATATAAAAAAGTGATGTTTCTGTAAATTTGGCTATATTAACCTAACAAAAAAATACTTTATCTTTAAAGTTGAGGATAATGTGAACTTTTTTTGATTGACAATTTTTGGGATATCTCTAAAAATAAAGTGGTGGGGGTATTCAAAGGTAAAAAATAGCTAAGCCAGTTTTAACATACTCAGGCTAGTTGAAAATAGCTATTCTTGGGCTACAAATATTATAATATATGAAGTTTTGTTAGTTTCACATGTGGTCTCTAAAACTGCATCTCGATATTTTGTTTGCAATCTAAAACTTAGTCAAAAGAAAATTTTATACAGTAATCCCCTAAATTTTAATTTTTTTAAACTATTTTTTCTAGAATTCTTTTTTATTCATCAGAATAAATATTACAAATTATCGCTAAAAGTAAGTAATGCTAATAACAAAAGGCATATTTTTTTTAAATGCATTCTCACTATGGGTATATATGAACAAGACAATTAATAGAAGCAGGCCATGGAATACAACAAAACATACATAATCTTCAAATTGTCAATAGTCTTGAGCAATTTCTGTGCTTACCAAATGCATTTTATGAATGTTGAAGCTTTTGGTATGCTTGCAGTTTATTTTGAATGTTTTCAGAATGCCGCAGTAGCAATTAGTTACATATTTACCTAACAAGTGTGAAAATCAATACTTTTAGCCACGTGTTAAGGGCGGAAAATACATTTTCCGCAAGTTTTAGATATAAGATTTTATCTAACAGAGCAGCGCGTGAAAATAATAAACGCAAAATTTTAAATATGTACTATGTTTTATTAGAAAGTTAATAATTGTAAAATCAACATGATCAACAACAACAACATCAACCACTCATTTATAATAATAAATATTAAAAGTAAAATAACATTTATTTGGATTATGAAAACTTGTAGGCATTTTCGAAGCATGAGGAGAGGTTATGCGTGCGGAAAAGTGCTACTTTCTGCACGCTGATAGAAAAAAGAGTTTACGCGACTGATATCCAAATCGGCGTCTTTGCGGTGTGATAGTTTTTTCATGTGAGACTGGAAACACTACAAAAGTTATTTTTCAGATGGATGATTGTCCAGCACATTTTGCTTTTATTGTGCGAGAGCATATTAATGCAGTATTTCAACAGTGGTGTTTTGGAAGATTAAGTCTGTTTCCACGGCTTCAAGATCACCAGACTTAACTTGTCTTAATTTTTATTTATGGGGATGGTTAAAGGACATTGTGTTTCAGGCGCAAACTACAACCAGAAAAGATATGAGAAACCGGTTTCATAATGGAATACGAAACATAAACTTCAAATATTATAACATTTGTAGCCCAAGAATAGCTCTTTTTAACTAACCCAAGTTTGCTAAAATCGGCTCGTCCATTTCGATGTTACACGGTATTTTTATGGAAACTTTTGAATAAACCCACTACTTTATTTTTAGAGATAACAGCAAAAGTTGTCAAACAAAATATCCTCGAATTTAAAGATCAGGTATTTATTGTTAGGTTACTATAGCCGAATTCACAGAAACATCACTTTTTTAGATTCATGATTGCAGTTATGCCCCCTAGCGGACATTTCAAAAACTTGCAAATATTTTCAAGGTTTTTCTCTTGGTAAGAACTGTTTTTGCTGCAAGCTTCAGATACAATACCTCGCATTCTTAGTTGGCCACCTTGTGCATACGGATCTTTGTCTTAGTATTTCAAGATCAGTTAGATTGCAAGTGGCCATATCTGCTTAATTTAACTGTTGAAACCATATTTTCAAAAATTCAACTACAGTAGAACTCCAATTATCCGAACTCCGACTATCTGAATCGCCGATTATCCGAATCACTTTAAATTTGTCCAAAGTCCGCGGCGTCAGTGTAGGCACAACAACACGTGGTATGAGTCCCCACTCCAGTTCCGGCACATTGCAGTCACGGCGCACCAATATAGTCAGTGTGCTATTGACCTTGCTCGAGGACGCTACTCTTTCGCTACGGCTTACAATACTATTGTACTGTATTGTTTTTCACCATGGCTTCGAAAAGAAAACGTGTTGTGCTATCGTTAGCGGACAAACTGAAAATTATAGAGCAACTCGATAAAGGTGTAACGGGTAAGAAGTTGTCTGAGATTTATGGTGTTGGACAAGCAACAATTTGTGACATTAAAAACAGTAAGTCAACACTTTTAAACTTTGTTTCGGTGCTTGAAAATGAAGATGGAAGTTCCTCCAGGAAAACAATGAAGACAGCAACCAACAAAAATTTGGAAGATGCCGTGTTTAAATGGTTTTTGCAGCAACGTTCTATGGGAAATCCGATTTCAGGTCCAATCCTTTGTGAAAAAGCCAAAATCTTAGCAGAAAAGCTTGGTTATTCATCTTTTAAGGCTAGTAACGGCTGGCTAAGGAACTTTAAATTCAGGCATGGTGTACGCGAGTTAGATTTGGCTGGTGAGAAGCTTTCAGCAGACTCTGCAGCTGCTGAAAATTTTATTGAAAAATTTAAAACTGCAGCAGAATCCTATGATCCGGAGTTTGTTTATAATGCCGATGAAACTGGCCTTGTTTGGAAAGCATTACCAAAAACCACTTTGGCTTCTAAAAGGGAATCTAGTGCCCCTGGACATAAGGTCAGTAAAGAACGTGTTACAGTGCTTAACTGTGCCAACTCCACTGGAAATCATAAACTACCACTTCTTTTGATAGGACAATCAAAAAATCCAAGAGCATTTAAAAACGTAAAAAAACTTCCACTCTTCTACAAAAGTCAACCCAAGGCCTGGATGACTGCAGCTTTGTTTACCGAATGGTATGATGAAGTGTTTATTCCTGAAGTGAAAAAGCACCAAAAATCGGTGGGAAAAGAAGGCAGTAAGGTGCTTTTAATTGTTGATAACGCACCCACTCATCCTACAGCAGAACTGTTGGAAAGAGAGAAAGGGCAGTTTAAAACGACGTTTTTGCCTCCCAATGTTACAAGTTTGCTGCAACCCATGGACCAGTCTGTTATTGAAACAATGAAGCGCCATTACAGAAGGCAACTGCTGAGAAAACTGCTGATCGAAGGTGCTGAAGATGAAGAATTGGTTTTGGCAAATCATAGCAAAATAAATTTAAAGGACTGCTGTTACATGGTAGCGGAAGCTTGGAGTTTGGTTACGGCAGTGACGCTAAGACGTGCGTGGAATAAACTGAAAGGCCTACCGTCTGAGAAGAACAAAAAAAAAAGAATCTGAAGAAAATGAGAAACAAGAAAATGGAGAGGATGAAGATGATGAAGATGCGTTGTCACTAGAGGAAATAAGAAAAATGATTGTAAAAATTCCTGGTTGTACAGAAGTAAGTGCTGAAGATGTAGGAGAGTGGATGGCTTGTGACACGTCTGACCCTGGTTTTCAAATTCTCAATGACGATGAAATTGTTGAAAGTGTGAGAGAAGATGTTGAAGTGGAAGTGGGAGAAGAACTTTCTGCTGATGTTGAAGTAGACGCTGGACCATCAGCTAGTGAAGCATTTGCCGGCCTCGAGACTGCTTTGAAGTGGATGGAGCGTCAGCCCGAGTGTGACCACTTGCAACTGCTCACCGTCAAGCGAATGCGTGACCTGGCTGCCCGAAAAC